TCTCCCCACGCACCTGTTCCAATCTCCCTAAGCTCCCCATTCTTGTCTGACACTGCCCCTCATTCCTGTCTCCTCTTGTCCCCCTCCCCCATCCTCTATGTGCTCCATCTGGAAGCCTGGTCTCTCTCTAGTCTCTCACCAACTCCCAGCTTTGGGGATAGCACAATTAACATGTGAAAGCCCTTCTTCTGCTCAAAAGCAAATTACCACTTAGGAGTGTTTCTCCTTTCCTTAGTCCAATAAATTAATTAACATCTTTTATTAATATCTTAATTCTACGTCTTAATATTTGTTATTTTGTATGGACACAGTAAGATATATATTAAGCTTGTAGGGTGGCTCTTCTGGGGACATCTCACTATAGATCTCAGACTACAGTGCTCAGGCCAGATTAATCTTTCCTAACCCTAGCAGGGTCCTATCTAGTTGCACTTTTTGGATCATGACTGAATTTGTCCATGACCATGCTCTTAACTTATAGTTAAGTACTATGGTGCTTTGGCCTGGCCCATTTCGATGCCAGGGCAGCTCACAGCTTGCCCCGGGTCCATCCAGTCCCTTGTTAGGAACCTGCTTTTAGGGTGCTAGGAAGTAAGGGCAACTGAGGCTTAAGTAGAGAGAACAGATGCTCCAGGAGTGAATATCATTCGGAGCTAATTAACTCCCAAGTTACAAAAGCATAGAATTAACTGTCTTCCTCTGTATATACAAAAAGGACATTGCTCTGAGTTAACTATGCAAAGGACTTAAGGAGAAGAGAAAAGCAATATTTACAAGTTAACAGTCTAATTAGGAGATAAAGGTGATTGAAGCAGAGCACAAAGAAAGAGGTTACAAATAAACACAGAGGAGTTGGAGCACTGTGATGGGAGTAACCCAATAAACCCAAGCTCCCTGTGGCAAGGCAGAAAAGACAAACCAGTGTTATCCTACATGGTATCTCTTGGTGCCTGGTATAAAAGGTTTTCTAATAGATGATATCTATTTTGAATATTTCATCCTTTTTGTTTTATTTTATTGTTAATTTGACCCAAAAAGTCTCTAATTTTAGGTCAAATCTAGATATTTTTCTGTGTAGGTATTTCTGTTGTTTCAGTAATAGAAAATTTTTTTCCAGCCACAGGTAAGCTAGTCACTTAGAATATTTTTCTTTTAATGGCTTTAACTTGCTGACATTTAAAATTCAACATTTTTATATATTTTTAGTGATGCAAAGTTAGACATTAAATTGTTTACATATACATATATATAATTTTGTTTTGGGGTCACACCTGGGATTACTCTTTTCATACCTGGTGTTGCTCTGCACTTACTACTGGTTCTACACTCAAGACTTACTCCTGGCAGTGCTCAGATGACGATATGTAGTACTGGGGATAAAGCCAGGGTCAAATGCGTGCAAGGCAAGTGCTTGTACTATTTCACTATACTATCTCTCCAGCCCTGTCTTTCTATTTTAAATAAGTACTGAACTATTAACCTACCCTTTCCTTCTATAGTGGTTTTTGTTATGGGCTCCTTTATTTTCAGTAATACTCTCTGAGGGAGGAAAGTGTATCATGCTTTTAAAATGCACTTAGTCCCACTTTGCATGATTCTAGAACATCTTGACTAAAAGAATCTTAGTCCTCTGATTTGTTCTTGCTTCTACTTTTCTGAAAAACCATTTATTTGTCATATCATGTTATCATCTGTCTTTGAGATTCTACTTAATGTGGAGTATTCTGTTCCATTAGTAAATGCACCCGAGCTTCCCTTATTGAAAGATCACAGTGTATTTTAATATCTAATAAAAATCCATTAAGATTTCAGAAGAGTGAAAATAATTAGCCCATTTAGTGTTTCTGCAAAATCCAGGTTGCCTAGAGATAACTCTGTTTGTACTGTTTTTATCTTATAGAAAATTCTCACTAAGACTTTGCTTCAGAGTTGTAATTATCAATCCTACTTTCATATCAGCAGGACTAGAGAATTATCTTTAAAAGAAGTTGATTTCCTTTTTCTATCGAACTGATCTTAGAGTGTTCACCAACGTAGGCTGGTGGCCTGAGCTCAGACTTTGCAGGAGGCCTGGGTTCCATTCCTAGCCGCACATGATCCATTGAGCACAGAACCAAGAGTAGCCTCTGGGCACTGCCAGGTGTGACCCAAAAACCACACACACACACACACACACACACACACACACACACATATTACTAAATAAGAAAGTCAGTCCTTATGAAATTTAGCTCTGCATTGACTACTTCCCCAAAATTAATTACTTAGCATTTCAAGTCTCACCTTGACAACCAGGCAGTGAATTTTGCCCATTGTTTGGTTTTGCATACACGAGAAGATTTTTAGAAACTTTTCCTGGACATCTTTTGCATAATAGATAACCGAATTTCACTGGTTTGCGACTTGTTCTAAATTAGAAACATTCTCAGAACTCAGGTTACTTTAAGGTGCCTTATTAGTGCAACTTCTATCAGCAAATAAAATTTATTTTGAGCTGATAGGTTGAAAGAGCAGAAAAAAAGGTTTCCTACTACAAATAATATTATTACAGGATCCATTTAATGTTGATTTTTATTTAAAAATGCCATTGTTTGCTCTTTCTAGGCATCATTTACTGTAAATAATTAGACATTTTCTAGGACCATGAGAATATTTGTTTCTTTTAATGGTCCATGAAACTAATAATAGCAACATATAATTTAGTCATTCAAACTAATTATTTATAGTAGTGATATGTAGGACTATGAAATGTTTACCTGTCACATAATTTGGGTTGCATTTTATTATTTTTATTTATTTATTTATTTATTTATTTGCTTTGTGGATCACACCCGGTGATGCACAGGGGTTACTCCTGGCTCTGCACTCAGGAATTACTCCTGGCGGTGCTCAGGGGACCATATGAGATGCTGGGAACCAAACCCAGGTCTGCTGTGTGCAAGGCAAATGCCCTACCTGCTGTGCTGTCGCTCCAGCCTCTTGGGTTGCATTTTATTATTTTAATTTTTTGGATTTTAGTCCGTACCTGGTGGTACTATGGTTTGAATCCATGTAGGCTGCTTGCAAGAAAAGTACCACTGTATACTCTCTCCAGCCCCAAATAATTTTTCTTTATTTAGAGACCACACCTGGGTGTGTTCAGGTCTTACTCCTGGCTCTGTCCTCAGGCATCACTCCTGGAAAGCTTGGGGGACCATATGGGGCCAGCTGTGTGCAAGGCAACCCCCCTACCTGCTGTAACATTTCTTCTGCCCCTATTTTTTAACGTTAAGAACTTGTGGGGGGCACGGAAATCAGCATTTTTATATCTTAAACCAGAAAGGCTAAATTATCAGAGCAGGGGTCCTGGAATAGCTCAGTAGCTTAAAACACGGCTTCTTAAACATAGGCAAGCACTGCCGGAAACATCTGATTCATTGCAAACCAATTTTTGGTTATTAAATGTTCATAAACCTTTTACTTTTCACCACTTTTCACCACTCCCAACTCAGTTACACAGCCCCATGAGCTTCTATTTAAGAAGCTATGGTTTAGAGCACATGCAATGAAAGCCTGAGGCCACGAGTTCAATCCCTGGTATCACCCCATGCACGGAGTGTAATCCTGGCAGTTCTGGTGTCAGCTCGGCTGCTCTACTGTCTTTAATACCCAACCACACATAGCCAGGTGTGTTTGAGAACCACAACCAGAAGCTGTGTGACAACCATGGCCAGGAGGTACAGCCCCTGGCAAGCACATGTGAGGACACCATAGCACTTACCAGCAAATGCTATATGATTAGCATCACAACTAAAAGAGAGTGACTAGTCCTCCCCCTCCCAGCAAGAACGTGTGACCCCAGCAAGGGCTGGTCAGAGATCATTCCCAGAAATGTTTAGGGGACCAGATGTGGTGCCTCGGTGGCTGCATGCAAGGCAAGCACCTTCACCCACCACTTTACCATCACTGTGGAGCCCACAATTTGCTATTTATAACTCTAACCTGCTGGTTTTATTTCTTGTTGTGAAGTATTTCAAGCACTCAAAAATATATCAAATGGGCTAGAGAAATAGTATGCAGGGGAATGCACTTGTCCTACACAGAGCCGACCTTGATTCATTCCCTGATACCACACATAGTCCCCCAAGCACTGCCAAGGGTCACTCCTAAGCACTGCTGGTGTGGCTGTACTCCTCCCACCCCACCAATAATATATATATACCAAAAACAACATAGCAAACACCAATGTAGTAGCATATGGGGTTAACAAACAGTAACTTTTGTTGTGCTTATGTAAAATATCACCATATAAGCCATTCACTTTACATTGGTGTACATGAGCTTTGTATTGCCTTGAATGCTTTGTATACTTATCGCATAGAGAGGCCCATAAGAGCATTCTTTGTGGTTTTATATTTTATATAAGTGTTATTTTATATAATACATATCCTTTTGCAATTTTTTTGGTTTTTCATTCAAAGTTCTCATTGAGAATCTTCCATATTGATGCATTCAGGTGTGATTCATCTTATTGAGGCAAGGTGTAGCATTGCATTTTGTAAATAAGCTACAGTGTTGCTCTATTCATCTTTGTTGTGGCATGCTTACTTAGGTTTTCTATCACTTAGAAGTAGTAGTTCACTGAGCATCATTATGTTTTCTTATACTTCTCTTTGAGCAAAACTGAAAGGAGCATATATAGTGGTAGCACTGTAGCACTGTCCTCCCATTGTTCATTGATTTGCTCGAGTGGGCACCAGTAATGTCTCCATTGTGAGACTTGTTGTATCCTTTCTATATCATAGAATGTGCATATTGTCAATTGTACTCTCTGAAAATGTAGTCCAAAATGGCTGGATTGTTTATAAATTATTTCAAGTAAGGTGCCATTTTAAGTCCTGCTGATGCATTCTCCACTCATTTGTTGTTTAAATTTCCTGTCTAATATTCAAGTACTTGCCATTTTTATCCTAGCATAGATAGAGAGCAGGTCATTATATTTTATTAGAATTTTATTATTATTTTATCTGCTATAAGCTTTAGTCATAAATGAATACAGTGACAAATGTACAAGCTGTTAAGATGACACGAGCATATATATTTTTTAACATTCTCAGTTGGTTCTCAAATTATTTAGTTTTAAACACACTTAAATCAATTAATTAATTCTAAGTCCTTGATTCTTAATAACTACCTTAGTGAATTGAGAAATATTTTTAACAATTCCTGTGTTAAAACCATACATTTCACTTAACTTTGTAATAATCTATGTTAAGAGTATTAGCTTAACCAATCTATTTTGAACATATTTTTACATGCAGACTTAAGATCTAGGGGTGAGTTTAAGGGTTTCTTTCTCTTGGAATAGTTTATAAGTAAGCAAATGAAGTACCACAAAGAAGAGCTTGGAGAAGATCTCAGCCTTGTCAAAGGCAGCACTTTTCTAGTTTTTAGTTCTAGGAATTCAGAGGCTGTGCTTTTGATCATCACATGCTTACTGAAAGTGCTTTACGAAGTAGGCTGAATTTTAGCTGAGACAGATGTCTCATGCAAGGAGTATACAGGTTTAAATTCTGAAGTGCTTTCACTCCTGCTTGCTTCCCCTTGAAATCGTCTAGAAAGAAGTTGGCACATTAGTTTGCGGATGTTACTGGACATTAGGAAGTACATGACTGGATCTAAGCAACTATTGAAAGATGAGAATACCAGCATGATCTCATTGGTATTGTGAACAATTTCCTTCCAATAGCAAGGAGGGCTTTTCATCTGTGAAGAAATATAAACAAATCGAAAGATGTGATAGGGAACAAAACAGATAGTAAAAATGATCAAAACGATAAAGGAATTGCGAGCTGTAGTGGCATATTTACCAGAATTTGGAAATTTTGACCTCCTTTTAGAAATCTTCAACAGATTCTTACCAATTTTAATATATGAAAGGATTATTAGTAGGAAAATTAGCCAGAACATGACTACGAGAACATAGTTAAAAATGGCTTCTCCTTTTGCATCCTCTTTACTTCTATAGTGGAAACACATTGTGGAATTATCTCCTTTGTTAAGCGTTGAAGTAATCATAGCTAAAAATCCAACAAGAGCTAATGTCCATACTGTACCACAAACATAAATACTTTGTCTAGTTGTTATTGCCTTCCGTTGTTGTATAGACCGGTTAATTTTTATGTAGCGATCCAAACTGATGAATCCAAGCAAAATAATGCTAATGTACATGTTCATATAAAATAGTGTTCCCACAACCTTACAAAGAAGCACGCCTAGTGTCCACCTGTTTTGGTTTATGTGATACATTATCCGGAAAGGGAGACAGAAGATAAGTAAGAGGTCTGCAATGACTACATTAAGAAGGTAAATCTGAATAGAATTTCTTTTGCGGTGGATACCCAAAAATACATACAGGGCAATTATGTTCCCAACCAGTCCCACGATGAATATAACAGAATAGAATACTGTTAACACACGGGAAAGTAATTTTTCATCCATGGTACAGTTATTGGAACTTGAAGACCCAGAGAGATTCTGTGGCAGTGGAATGCTGTGGTTTGTTATAGCCTGGACCCCAGGCCAGCTGCTGTCTGAAGTAGCCATGGTTGTTTCAGTATGGCTTCTCTTTGTCTTTGGTATGGATCAAAAAGTGAAGGTGCTGGATGACATGGTCATTGTATGCCTTCAGAGTTTTCCTATAACAGAAGACCACACATGACATCACTTGCTTTTGAATAACAGTTACTTGAACTGAAATTATCAATTACAATGGGTTTATTTCAAGACACTGTGAGAAACCTTTATCCTTTTGTGGACCTTTTGGATAGCTACACTAAGTTATGGTATCACATAATGAACAACAAGTATAGTCAAAAAAATATTTGGTGGCCACACCCAGCAGTACTCATGGGTTACTCCTGGCTCTGCACTCAGGAGTCACTCAGGAAAGCTCAGGGCACCATATGGAGTGCTGGGGATCAAACCCCAGTTGGCCACAAACAAGGAAAGCACCTTACCCATTGTGCTATTGCAGGCAGACTGATAGGGAAGGCCACCTCCCCAGGCAATGGCAGTAAATTTTCTGGGAAGTAAAAGCTTTGAAGTTGCAAAGGCCAACCTGGCAGAAAACCAGAACTAAGACCCTCAACTATCTACAGCAACAGACCCAGAGAAGCTCCTGCAGAAACAAAAGGCCAGAAAAGGAATTTCAAAGAAGACCATCACCACTCCCAACCCCCCTGGTAACCTCCTTAGCAATGGACTTTGACCAAGTTAGAAGCCACTCCTTGGGAGCAGGTTGAATCAACCATATAAAGGCCAGCTTGAACAAAGGAAGGGCTCAAATATGCTGCCTAAGCCCATGTGCTGTTTGCCCTCAGGTTGCCGAGCACATGTGATGCCTGAGCGCATGTATCACCTGCATCTCTTCTCATGAGATGTGTACTTTCATGCTTTCATGTCTAATGCTGGGATGTGGGCTCTTTCCGCCCTTGGAAAAGCCTGGGTTCTCTCGAGCACCTTACTCTCCACTCTCTCCACTTTCTCTTCCTCCTTCCCTTCAGAGGCTCCAAATAAAATCTGTTTTACTTCACTGCTCGTCTGCTCCTAAACTTCTTTTCTGCGAGGCGAGACAAGAACCCAGCAACCCTGGGTCCTCGGTGGCAGAGGCAGTTTGGGACAAAGTGCCCATCTTTCTCCTCTCCACTTGACATAAGTCAACAGTGGGGCCCACCGACATCATTATCTCTTTAGGCCTGTATAGTAAAATCTTACAGAAAGTCGCTTTAAGTCTCTTTCCCTTGACTATGGTATTATGATCAAGGTTTGTTTTATTTATCATATTAAAATGAATTGCTGAACTATAGAATCATCTGTTCTTAGAGATGTTGTTCTGTAAATAGAGATGAAGAGAAATGCAGCTCTTATTTTTCAGAGATGAACCTCAGTTTCTCCCAAGGCTGGTATTGAGCTGCCCCACTGCTGGCCTCATCTGATTTGACTTTCCCTCACATGTGACATTCATTCAGATTCATTAAGGTTGTTCGTATGACAGATGAATGAGAAAATTGTGGACAGTTTCTCATTCCATGTAATAGGGGGAAGGAGCCTACGTTCCTTCCTTCTCCACCAGAACCCAAGTTACGGATATTAACATCGTTTGCCTGGAGTTGCAGTCAGTTCACATTACAAACCAAAGAGAACACAGCCACTGTCTCATTGGGAAAACTCTTGAACACTGAAGAGGAGCCAAACAAAACCCATCCAGATGTCGCCAGCTGCCTATTACCCACTGCTGGCCTGGAAAACAGAGCAGTCTCAAGGATGGGGAACAGCTTGTGCAATCCAAGGTTTTCTGAAAGTGCCTCACTCCAATTTAATTCTGACCTGGGTTAGGTAATTGGAGACTGTTGCTATAACCTTATCAGTAAGAGTGTGTGAGTTCAGTGTGTTGATGAACACACAGAATGTAGGGGACCATAGCAGTGCCCTTTGGGGGCCCTTTCCTGGGGTACCCAGAGAGCCCAACACGAAAAACTAGAAGACAGAAGAGAGTTCCAGGAAGTCTCATTCCATCCCTCTTATTTCTCTATAGCAACCTCTTAGCAAGTGTAACATAAAGATGTTGAGAGCAAGCGGCTCAAAATTATACCTAACTCAACCACTTCACTTTTTTTTGGTGATGGGGATTGAACCCAGGGTCTCATACATGCCGAGTCTGTACTCTACCTGCTGAATTCCATCCTGCCCCCCCCCCAACTTCATGTTTTCTTAGCTTCAGTTTTCCTGTTTGTAGAAGTGGAAACTGATCTATGGGGGGCTCTGGTACATAACAAGTGCTCAGTCAAAGCTTTAAGGAAAAACACCTTCAGGGAGAAAATCATAAATTGAGAATCAACTACAATTCAAGGGATAGGTATTTTAATGCAAAGAACTGACATCAGTAAGTCACTTCAGAATGTCACTTAAGAAAGATTTCAAAGTGATTCTTGAAGTCCAGAGTTAAACAAGATAATAAAACAGCAATTCTGGGGCCAGAGCAGTAGTCCAGAAGGTAGGGCTTTTGCCTTGCATGTGGCCAACCCGTGTTCTATCTCCGGCTTCCCATGTGGTTCCCTGAGCACCACCAGGAGTAATTACTGAGTGGGAGCCAGGAGTAATCCCTGAGCATCACCAGGTATGTCCCAAAAAAAAGAAGAAAGAAAGAAAGAAAGAAAGAAAGAAAGAAAGAAAGAAAGAAAGAAAGAAAGAAAGAAAGAAGGCAGGCAAGCAAACAAGCAATTCTGAAAATGTCAATTTTGGAAATGTTTAGTAACCACAATCTGTGGGACGTTAAAGTCAGGTCTTTGTTTTGAAATTGTGTTTTGCTTGGAATGAGTTTGCTGAGAGAAGACAGTTCTCTAACTACATAGAACATTTTTTCATGTTAGCATTTACCAATATTAGACCTTAAAATATACTTAAAGCAGATTTAGTGACTGAGGAGGCTAAAGATGTGAAGTGAAGAAGGCCCCAAACTAGATGGTCCAAACCTCATGCCCCAGATCCTCTGTACCTTCTTCATACCTGATCCTCTGTACCTCCAGTGTAGTTTTGGTGGCGCCCATTCCCCAGCACTACAGTGGTGTCCCAGATGACCACCAGCACCAGGCTGGAGCAGCACTGCTCACTGGGTGACTAGCAGGCTCTCGAAGCCCTTCTAGAAGGCTTTACCTCCCATATTTGGAAAGTCACTGTCACTGTCACTGTCCTCCTGTCCTCATTCATCGATTTGCTCAAGCAGGCCCAGTAACGTCTCCATTGTGAGACTTGTTGTTATTGTGTTTGGCATATTGAATACGTCATGGGTAGTTTGCCAGGTTCTGCTATGTGGGCGGGATACTCTCAGTAGTAGCTCGCTTGGCTCTACGAGAGGGGCAGAGGAATCGAACCCAGATCAGCTGAGTTGGCCTGCAAGATAAACGCTACCACTGTGCTATTCAAATTTTGTGTTTTGGGATAAATGAGATCTAGAAACCCAATCAAAACAGTAGGGAGTGCAGTGAATAATAATGCTTTGTATACTTGACATTTCCTGCAGATTTTTTAAGTGTTCCTGTGATCTTAAGGGTTATCTCCACTTATGCCCCAAAGGGTAACTCCTGGAGCAGTAGACATGTTAATGAGCTTGATTGTGATAATAATGTCACAAGATTTGTTTATATTTGCAAACAATGAAAGTCTAGGGCCAGAGGGATAGTATAGGAGGTCATGCAAGTGCTTGCCTCACTTGCTAGGAGTAGTCCCTTCACAGAGCCTGAAATAGCCTTAAGCACTTCCGGGAATCACCACCCCCCCCACCAAAATTTTAAAGTTACCTTAAAACACCTTTTGATTAATGTTATTCTAATAAATATATCACACTTAGATATTGCTTGGAAAATGAATAAGACAGTCCCTGGGCTTGGTGGACATTTTGTTTGTAAATCAAACTCTAAATGGGAAAGCTCTGAGTGCTATAAAGTCACATGGATTTGAATGACTAGAATTTATTTCCTGCCTTGACTTTATATGTAGCAAAATATCTGAAAGGTTTCAGTCTTTCTTAAAGCTTGATTAAAAGAAAGCATTTCAGTAGGGGGCTGGAAAGATAGTACAGTGGCACTTGCCTTACACATGTCTGACCAGGCTCAACCCCTGGCACCCCATTTAGTCAACTGAGCACTGCCAGAAATGAAAGCTGAGCTGAGAACAAGAAGTAACTCCTGAATACCACTGGGTGTGGCCCCCCAAATAAAAAGAAAAAAGCTTTTTGGTATGATGTAAAATTTTGGATTGAGATTTTTGTCAAGGGGAGGACATTGATTCCAGGGAAGAGGAACTGGCAGATGAAGAGGAAGTTATGTAATCCCTGGTTAGAGGAGCCTGTCTGCAGAGTGGGGCAGTGGAGGGAGGAAGGGAGGGAGACAGACCAAGTCTAGTCTGCTGTGTCTCAATTGCAGGAAGACAAATTTCACAAAGTTTGTAGAAACTTAGAGGTGTGATTCTGCTGATCAGAAATTCTAAAAGGAAAGAGCAATCGAGGAAAAATGGCAGGCTGCCCAAAACAAAGTCAGTAATGCCACCCGCTGGGTGGTGGGGAAGAGGAAATGGGTTCCCCTGCCTGGTGCTTACCTAGCAAGCTCCCTCGCGGCCGGGAGTGGGGGGCTGTTCATTAGAAACAGCGCAAAGCCACTGACTCAAGGGAGCTAAGGTTCAAACAAGTGATTTGGAAAGGCCAGATAGCTGAAATTCTTTTATTTTATCTTATCTTATTTTATTGTTTTTTGGGTCACACCCAGCGATGCACTGGAGTTACTCCTGGTTCATGCACTCAGGAATTACTCATGGCAGTGCTTGGGGGACCATATGGGTTGCTGGGAATCAAACCTAGGTCGGCTGCGTGCAAGGCAAACGCCCTACCCGCTGTGCTATTCCAGCCCCTGAAATTATTTTTAAAAACTCCTTTGTAAAGGGCAGGAGAGATAGTACAGTGGGCAAGGCACTTGCCTTGCACAGGACTGATCCGGATTCTATCCCCAGCGCCTCACACAGTCCCTGAAAACCCACCAGGCCAGGAGGATCCCTGAGCACAGAGCCAGGAGGAAACCTTGAGCACTGCTGGGTGTGGCTCCAAAAACAAAATAACCTTTCTTTGTATTTTTCTTCCCATCTGACCAGTCTGTAATTTCAGCTTCATTAGAGCCAAGTCTGTTGTGTTTGCCTCTGTGTACCTAGTATAGAGATGGCATACTAAATAATGGTTGAATGAAAGGGAAGTTAGTGAAAAGAATTCAAGTTCTGTCTGTGGATAGTAAAGTCAAGTGTTCAAGTACAGGAAAGACTTTAGCTGCATTAACTGAGAAGCAATCCCAACTCTCAGTAGTATGAAATAGTCACAGCCAGAAACTACCCCCTTCTTGGGCTGCTTTGATAGATACAGTGTCTACTGTGAAGATCTTTGCTTCTAGTCTGTTTCTGTCCTAAACTCAGAGGGCTTCCCCTGGAATAGTGTTTCATCCTAGCAGCACACTTGGTCACAGTGCAAATGGTGCAAATGGAAGCCAGGTGAGGAAAATAGGGAGCATACCCTGGTGGTACGAACATGATACAAGGCCACAAAGAAAGAAATTTTGTGATAGGTATATAAAGAAAACAGAAGGGTCTCAGCATCACATGGCCCCGTGAGCACTGAGCCAGAGAGCACTACCAGGTACTCCCTGATTGCCACATACCCTCCCAAAAAAGGGGGGGGTGGAGAAAAAATTATATTCTCTAGATTTACTTCTCTTTTTTTTTTTTTGGCTTTTTGGGTCACACGCGGTGATGCTCAGGGGTTACTTCTGGCTTTGCACTCAGGAATCACTCCTGGCGGTGCTCGGGGAACCATATGGGATGCTGGGAATCGAACCTGGGTCAGCCACATGCAAGGCAAATGCCCTACCTGCTGTGCTATTGCTCCAGTCCCTAGATTTTATTCTTAGGAGAAAGTATTGATCTCTTTATTTGCTATGTATGTTCCAGCAAGCAAAGCATTTAGAGAATCACAAACCAGACACCTATGTTCAGCATGTCCTCAGAGTATATATTTTCAGATTTACCTCTAGGCTTGATAATCAAGATGTTTCTAGAAAACTGTTCGCACAGAGCTCATATTCTGAACCATTGGCCTCCACTCTAATCTGCAAGTAAAATTAGTAAATAATAGTTGAACAAAATCATCAATGATCCATCTGGGTTTTCTTCATTTTCAGGCTTAGAGAGTGATGCCAAGCCAAGCCGTTTATTTGTTGCAGCAGTAAGAGTCACATCATCGCTTAAAACCAGGTCTGAAATGACTGGTGTCCAGTCCTAAAATCAGACTAGGTTCTATTCTAAACTTAATGTCTGATTTTTGCCTCCTTTACTATGTGTCCCTCATTTACTGTACCTAAGGCCATTAATTGATGGAGTCTTTTAAAATATATATTTACAGTTCATTTCATTTTTCCCAAAATTTTATTTTATTAAGGCACCATGAATTACATGGGTTTTTTACTGAAAACTACTTATTTGACTTTCTAAGGCAAGAAACAGACTCCTGCATTCAAGCAGTAGAGTTATTCTGCAGTAGATATTGCTTGTAAATTTTGTGCTATATCAAAGTGATCACAATGTTTTACTGATAATAAATGGTAGGCTGTTTTTAAACATTTTTACTTGGCAAATCGTAAAGCACACAACCCTGTCTTAATATGCTGCATTTTACCCAAGAGCCTGCCCACACCTGCCAGTGTTTTCCTAGTGGTTCATTGTAGGAGCTTCTGGACTGGAGAACAGGGTTGGATAAATTCCCCTGTGGCTGTAATGAGTGAAAAAAAATTAAATGTGGTCTAGATATTACTTTGCTAAGTTAACATACATACCTATTTGACAGTCGTCACAGTCTTTCGCCATTTGTAGCTTAACTTGATAATGTCTGAATCATTCAGGCCATGACTCAAAAATTACACTAATTGCTGCAAGCAGAATGAAAATTAAAAGCATGTTACTTTGGAAATAATACTATTAGTGGTATTTTAGGTTTCATTATATACAGTTAACTGTATCTAGAAATCCATTCATGTCCATTTGAGTTAGTTGAAGTAACTAAATGTATTTTGCTTTCGATTTTTTCTCATACTCATTTATTTCTAAACCTTGAATATCAAAATGCACCTGATCTTCTAATTGTCATAAAAATAGGAACAATATAGTACAGAAAATGAATATTCAATATATGAGCAACAATATAATAGATTGAAAATAAGGAAGTAGTTTAACTTAATAAAGTTAATAACAAATCATTTGTATACTAGAAATAACATTGGTTGCATATAAAGATGACTCATGAATTCAAGTAAATCTTCATTTCTTTTTGGTAATGTACAAAACATAGTAAAAACAATGTGAAAATATGAGCTTCTATACTTCTAGTGCCTTAAAATAGTTAAGTAACTAAGATAACATAGTCTCCTTTAAATCAAGCAGAAGTGAATTCAATTTACTCAGAGTTCTAAAGGCAAAGGTTTACAAGACCTTTCATTTTTAATATTCAGACAATCACATTTTAACCAAAAGAAATAACCATTTATGCAGTTCAAATCAAGGAATACTCACAGTGCAGACTCTCTTGAAGTAGCAAAACCCAAGCTTCCCTACACAACAGAAACTTCCTTGTGCTGTGTCTCAGCTGGGCTCCTCTATCCGGTAGTGGTGCAATTGCTTTGGGTTCTCTTCTTTTTGTATATGGCATGTGGTTATAGGCCTTTCTCCTTTTTTTTTTTGTTTCTCTTTAGATTACGGCCTCCAGGCTTCTTGTGAAAGTCTTAAGCCCTCACTACGATGCAACGACTTTACCTTTAAGCTCTATCAACACTTAACTTTAGGGAATTAGTGGTATTTTTTAAGGAATAACTTTTATCTTGACAAATATGAAATGTTTTTCCCTGCACCCCAGAAAATTAAAATGTTTTATCTGTTCTAGACATAACTACACATTTTCTTTTTTTCTCAGAAATGATGCAGAATAGTGAAGTACAGAATTTCTGTTTCTGAATTCATTTGATAAATTAAGTCATTCATGTAAAACAGTATTCCCGTGTTGAATCATGCTAACATGGGTAATGAATTGTTTTGTTCTTGAATCTCTTCAAGTTTTCATTGATCCATACATTATTTTAGCATATTTTTGTGTATTCACGTAAGACCTTGAATTTCTTTTTGAAAACAATTTCTAATTTGAGGACTAGAAGCGATATGTGACAGTATCCTTTTTTCTTAACCACTGAACAGTTCTCCCAAGTAAATGAAAATGTCTCCCATATTTTAAAGAAAGTCATAAAGGAGTTTTGTATCTTTTGTGATGGCCCCAGTCCAATATTTAACCATTATCTGTCTATTGATATAACTGCTGGCCCTGCAGTTTAATATTATTTCCCTCTTTGTGTTTTCACTGAGAATGAAGAGTTCATTTTGTATCCTCCCTGTAATTGTTACCCTGAAGCTTTGTTTGCTTTGTATAAATATTATTTAAATAATATTTAACTCATTGGACTTTAGCTAACTGTCTCATTATTTCTGTGTACATGCCTTATTCTGAATATCATAATCTCCAGAGTTTTTAGTATGGTATTAAGATGACACACACAACAGTATTTTTAAATTGCTAGAATAAAAATATTTTGTAGGTCTCACTTCCTCTGGAGACTCAGAAAAGAAGGATGATCACTGTATTTATTGGTCTAGTGTGATTATTCAGGCAAGAATTGTGTGTGGGGGCCGGTGATAAAAAAAAACACTAACATTAAATTTACCATCTTAATAATTTTTAAACATAGATTTCAGTAGTGTGAAGTCTTTTTATATTGTTGTGCAGCAGTGCTCTAGAACATTATCTTGTAAAACTGAAAATATAACCACTAAACTTTAATTCCTCCTCGTTCCTTCTCTTCCCTTGGCAACCATCTTTAAACTTTCTATGATTTTGACTACTCTAGATCATTCGTGTAATTGAAATTGTATTTGTCCTTTTATAACTGGCTTATTACATTTAGCATTGTGTCCTTCAGGTTGATCCATGGTGTGGCAGACAACAAGACTGCCTTCTTTGGTATACTGTATGGTATACCACTATACACATGTCCTACATGTTTCTTTCTTTATCTGTTCTCCTATTAATGAATATTTGGGTTTATTCCACCTTTGTGAATATTACCATGATAAATTTGGTTGCTCAAACCACATTTGATATCACAAGGTACCTTTATGCTCAATTAGGTATATTATAGGTGTGTTGTGCTGTTTTTCCACATCTAAGCCATCCCTTTTCAAAATACAAATTCTGTTTTCATCTCCAGTTCCCTGGTGGCTCTACTCTGACCAGGTTTGAATATATATTGGTCTATTTCTTCCCTTATAGGAATTTTTTCCTGTGTTTTTCCAAACTTTCTACTTTCTCTTTTTAGCTCATTCCTATATATCCTTCTCTCATGTTCTCTCTTTCTCTTCTCTTCTGTTGGTAGATTAAGTTTTTTTTAATTTATATAAAGACTGAAGAATAATAATTAAGATGAAGAAGAAATAAATGGATCTGTTTATTTGGTGCCATCTATTACCAATATTACCAAACACACTTTCTACCCAGCCGTGGTTAAATTCAGCTCCCCCTTACTTAAGACTCAGGTCCTGCTAGCTAAACGGAGTACTACTGAGCACATACACAGAGTCATGTGATTGGCCTCACTTCATATTTACCAACTCCATTGTGCCCCTGAGCTGCCAGCAGTTCATCTTCCAAGAACTTTTTATTAGTGCAAGTTTTTTTTTTCTTGGTGAGGGGTCACACTTTGATGCTCAAGGCTGGCTGCTGGGTCTGTGCCCAGGGATCACTTCTGGCAGGCTTAGAAGACCATATGGGGTATCAAGAATCGAACCTGGGTCAGCTGCATGCAAGATAAACACCTTCCTGATGAATACTAGATGAATACAAATACTAGACCTGATGAAACCAGTGGGGATGAAGGCCAGAAAAACTTGTGAGTCTGATGCTAAAGGTGGAGAGCCCCTGCCATTGCCCTTTTTCTCCTAGCTTTAAAAAAATACTTTTTGATAATAGGATTTATGAAGGGTGAAAAAGAACCATGTATTTCTGTAGAACTGGAGAAAAGCCAGATAATTATATACTCATATACTGCTTATATACAAGGACCTTATTAAAATAATAAATATTTTTTAAGAAAAATACTCCTTTATACCATCATTCTTCTCATTCTGTGTAATCCCTGCACCTTCCCTACTCCCAACAAATTGCTTTTTTAATTTCAAAGTAACTGGAAAATAGAAGTCCTCAGAAGAGAACTTCCTCATCTTCCTACAGGCACTTAGCAAGATTGTTCAAGAGTTCCTTTTTGCTGCTTTATGATCACTAAGGCCAACCATCTTCCCCACTTCTGCCTTACATTCTATCCCACCTCCCAACATATGTATTACATCGCTTCTCCTCTCTCTTCTGGGCTTGGTGTTTTCCCCTCTCTATAGAGTTTTGGTGTTTTCCCCTCTCTTCCCATCTGCACAGAAATGTCTCCTTTAGAAAGGTGGGTGTCTGGGGAAGGAGGGAGGGAATCCTGAGACTTAGCTCAAAAGCTTGAATCGTTGAGACTCCAGTTGGATTCCCAGCCTGACAGGTCCCCAAAGCACCACTAGTGTGGCCCTGGTAGCCCCCAGGTCTGCTAGCTCCAAGCAGCACTTGATCAAAATATTGCTTCAAGGGCCACCCTGCCCAAATCCCTGAGAATTGCTTGGGTGATTAAAAAAAGGGTGGGAGGGGCGTTTGCCTTGCCCTTGGCCAACCCTGGTTCTATTTCCAGCTTCCCATATGGTCCTCTGATCACCTCTGAGCACTGCCAGGGATAATTCCTGAGTGCAGAGCCAGGAGTAACCCCTGTGCATCGCCGGGTGTGACCCTAAAAGAAAAAAAAAGGGTGCAAAAGGGTGGGAGGGTAATACTACTGAAGAAAAAAACAGAAATACAGAGCAAAAATGAATACATAGCTACTGAGTGAGGAGGGAGAGGTTGCTCCGAGAGGAGAGATCAAAAACTAGATCTTTCTGAGTAGTATATGTGTAACTCTTTTGACTTTGAACCTATGTACCTGTTTCATAAAACACCAAATTCTGTAAAAATCTAATTAAAACAAGTTTGACCTCACTGTGGAAATAATTGAAAGCTTAACCAGAAGGAGAATTATTTTAAGTGACTTTAAAATAGAAATTTTTTTAAAAGAAATAATTTTCAACTTAAAAAAATACAAGAATAGTACCAAGAATTCCAGACATGTTTTGCTCAGATTCTCCATATGTTAACATTTCCAACATTTGTTTTATCTTTCTCAGTCTCTCATTCATCTAGTGCAGAACTTCCCAAGTGTATTTGGCCTATCACTCTTTTATTTATTTATTTATTTTTAATAGTGAGACATCATGAGGTACAGTTGCAGACTTACACATTTTTGTGCTTGGGTTTCAGTTATACAATGATCAAACACCCATCCCTCCACCAGTGCACATTTCCCACCACCATGGATCCCAGTGTCCCTCCCACCTCCCAGCCCCCATCCCACCCTGCCTCTGTGGCAGGGCATTTCCGTATCTCTCATTTTGAGTGCTGCTATCACTCTTTTTTTTCCGGAAAAATAATTAGCGACCCCCACCAGCCAAAATAAGTTTTTAAATAAGAAGATACTTCCTTCCCAATTATATCCAAGACTTCTTCTACAGGCACCTCTCCACCCAATCATTCTGATACTCCCAAGGGGTGGGTGTGGTATTGCCCAGTTTGGGAAACACTGCTCTAGCTCTTATCCATTTATCTATATATCTTCTAAAAATGGAAGGAATTCTCTGAGACCGAATAGATAGCACAGCAGGTAGGGCATTTGCCTTGCACGCAGCCAACCAGGGTTCAGTCACCGGTATCCCGTAAGGCTGCCAGGAGTGATTCCTGAGTGTAGAGGCAGGAATAAACCCTGAGCATCACTGGGTGTTCCCCCCTCCAAAAAAAAAAATAAGGAATTCTTGGGAATGGAGAGATAGGACAGGTGTTGAGACACAGCACGTACTCAAACCAGGTTTAATCCCTAGCACCACATGACCTCCCAAGCTTCAAGCGTCACTGGGTATAGCACATTACCGGATGTGGCCTGGAGGTCCCTAACACCTCAGGTCCCGAGCAGTACCATTTTCTCTGTCCCTCTTATTAAATCCCTAGCCCAGTTGCCCTAGTATCATGGGAAGTGGCTTCCAGACCCTCTAAGTGCTGGCTGGGAGATTCCCTTCATCCCTCAAAAGAAACTTCTCTGAGTAGCCATGGTAGAATGAAAATCAGGGAAATTATGTTGAAGTTATACTATTGTGTAATCTGTGAAGCTTGTTGGGCTGGAGCGATAGCACAGCAGGTAGGGTGTTTGCCTTGTATGCAGCTGACCTAGCAGACCCAAGTTCGATTCCTCCGCCCCTCTCGGAGGGCCTGGCAAGCTACCAAGAGTATCTCACCCGCAGCGCAAAGCCTGGCAAGCTACCCATGACATATTCGATATGCCAAACACAGTAACAAGTCTCACAATGGAGACGTTACTGGGCCCGCTGGAGTAAATTGATGAACAACGGGAGGACATTCCTACAGTGTAGTGCTACGAAGCTTTTTCCAGGTTCATCATCTATTCTCCTA